GTGTCACTGGGAAAGGGCAGGACCATGTTGGTTGGATGGGGAAGGGCAGGACCACGTTGGTGTCAGTAGGGAAGGGCAGGACCATGTTGGATGGATGGGGAAAGGCAGGACCATGTTGGTGTCAATGGGGAAGGGCAGGACCACGTTGGTGTCAATGGGGAAGGACAGGACCATGTTGGTGTCACTGGGGAAGGACAGGACCATGTCGATGTCACTGGGGAAGGGCAGGACCGCGTTGGTTGGATGGGGAAGGGCAGGGGATGTGTTTGGCGCTGGCCTAGGCCGCTCACTGGAGGGTGCCGAGCTGCGAGCGCGGCGGGTGGGCTGAGGTGAGTGCAGGATGGGGATGGGGCTGCGCTGCAGGGACCGTGAGGGCCGTGGGGAGGGTCTGGGCCTCTGGGTGCAGCAGAGGCCTGGGGTCTGGGGGCTGCTGTGGGGCAGGGGTCTCTGTGGTGGGCAGCTCTGCTGGCCGCAGAGGGCCGTGGCTCTGGGAGCAGGATCCCCCAGAGGGGTTGGGGTGTCGCTGCGGCCCCATCGCGGGGTGCAGTGTAGCCGGGGGCTCCACCGGCTCCTCGAGCAGCCCGGGCTCAGGCCTGGGGCAGCAGAGGCAAAGCCAGGCCCAGCGAGCGCCGCGGGCACCGCAGCTCCCGGTGCCGGTGCGCGTGGTCTCCCTGGGCAGTGCTACGTGGTGCAGGCTGAGAGGCCGCTCCGAGGAGCCGCAGCCTGCGCAGGGCCCTCGCTGTGAGCAGGGAGGAAGGAAACGCGGGCTCTTCCCAGCCCGGGAATGGGGCGGCTCACGGTGGGAGCCAGGAGAAGCTCCTGCATCCTTGGGATGCCCATCCCTTCAGTTTGGTCCTTTGCCAAGTTCAGCACAGCCCTGGCCAGGGTTCAGGGCCCTTAGAGGTGGCAGAGCCACCAGGTCCCATGCAGGGGGGTGCTGGACTCCTCCAGCTCCGTCCCCAGCTCTGTGCTGCATCCCGGGATGGCCGGGCTCGTGCCGGGGCCAGCTGGGCCCATTGTGAACTTCCCTTTGTGGCTGCATGAGCCCGGCCCGCCGGCCACCTCCGTGGTGACAGGGCACGTCCGGGCGCTGCCGGGAGGGGACGGGGCTCTGCTCCCCGGGGGATGCCCCTGCCGAGGGGCTGAGCGCTGACCCAGGGGCAGGAGGGGCAGAGGGGCAGGGACCTCCTGCTGCTGCGCCCCCCGTCCCCAGCGCGCTCCTGTCCGCCGCAGCAGCCGCCATGGATGAACTCTTTAC